TAAGGGGGTTTTCCAATAATCGTCCAAAGTTAAGGGGTGTTTTCTGGTATTTACCCTTTATTTATCCGGTTCTAATATCACTGATAAAAACTGACCTCAACATCAGGCAACGGGTCATATAGTTTCTTCTCTCTAGTGTCGAATATGGTAATCCCTGAGATTCTCTGGACACCCAGTCTGGTCGCGATCATACTCTACAGGTGCATATATCAAAGTAATTAATAAACTAAAGATTCAGTCACCAGAATGTATGCAACTATCTGTTCCTAAGAACATGGAATGGGGTCAGCTGTTGAAATCATGGTAATTCCAATAAGCGAAAACACGCACCAATCATGCATTCAGTTTTATAGTACCACCCACATGGGACTATTGCGGGGGGAAAAAATAGAGGAAGATGATTAAATATTTTACTAGAGGCGAATGGTGCAAAATAGTTTACACGAGTATAATAGGGCCTTGAACAAAGGCTTGCCAGTTACATGGATAAACACACCATATATGGAAGTAAATCCATAGTTTCATTGATACATCCACGTACAAGCCACGAGACACGATCAATTTACCAAAGGGTACTTATGTTAGTTGTTTGTTTGAAAAATAACTTTCAGTATTTTGATGTATAGACCCCAATAATTAACTTAGGAGTATGTTTCATTTAACTCTTATTATGAGAAATTGTTAGTTCCCAAAAAAAATTCTTAGCGATGAACTGAACACAAAATTAGGGGGCTGACAACCTCGTCAAATCTTCTTTTTGCACTAATATGAATAATAAAATCGCCTAAATTTTTATGTTCATAGTGATGCGAATGACACAGTAAACACTGACATGATATCTTGTATTTCAACTGGTGCAGAGAAATCTCCAACACCCAAGATTGCATATCTTGTCAAATCTTCTTTTTGCACTAATATGAATAATAAAACCGCGTAATTTTTTATGTTCATAGTGATGATAACTCTGCATCATCTTACCATGCTGAAATCGGAAGAACTGAAAGCTTCTACTGGTGATAGAACCTGTATAGTACGTCAAAAAGGAAAACCATCAATATAGATGAACAAGGAAAGATAAAACCATAGTCTGCTTTGGAAATATAGATAACCAGTGACAAATAAATCAAGGCAAACTTCCACTGAGCACATAATGTGTTGCAGAATGCACTCTTGGACAGCACATTCATATTCAACAAGGAGAAATATAGAGAGATATTGAAGGTGGTTTCGTATCTGGGTGGACGCTTGTCACAAAGAGAGGGAGGGGAGGCAGATTCTTTACTTTCAAGAAGTAACTTAGTTATGACCACTCACTGAAATACAAGCTGTGCAATGAAATTGGATTAGCCACTCCATTCATTGTGATCCACATGTTCTGAAAGTGTTTAGACAAAAGGCAAAAGTTTCATATGGCCCTCTTCCTCTATATCCTATCCAACAGTTCTAACACCAAAAGAGACTAATAGCACCCAAGTAAGGATATATTTTTTATCCTGGCACACCACGAGGAAAATAATTGACGTCACAAAGAGGCATCAATTCAATCGAAATATCAGTCAAATGAAGTTATGTTCATGTCCTTATAACTCGTTCTGTCCGGTACATGAATATGCACTTCTAAGGAATCATGTGTGGGTGTCTGCACATACACATCCACGTTTGCATGTTGGCTTTGTCACTATAACCATGACCTATAAATATCATGCTCAACCAATATAGAGAATACAGTGAACAAAATCTGCATAGACTATAATAAACGACTCCAACTAAGTTGAAAATGGTCTCAAAGACTCCAATGGAAATCTTTGATGTCACATCCTTCTTTTTGAGAACAGAACTTACAACAACTTATGTTATAAAAAAAATGTAAACAGAAAAAATACAACAAAAAAAGTCAATAATGTATCAGGAATACGGAAGTGTACAAGACTAGTAAGAGAAAGGGCATGTTTATTTTCATATTCAGTGTAGGGTTAGTATTTGATCAAACCCTATTTGATCCAGCATTTCTGATCAACTTGTCAATGTTGTTCACCAGCCACGATGTAACATTTCTAAGGTAATAATACAAAATCTTCCTGATGAAAATAAATTAATATAACGACTTGTAACAAAAGGATCATTACCATTTTTTGGATTCCATTAACCATGACTGCCTTTTCTTCAGCGGAACTGACATTAGAGAGGAAAACCTCAAGAGGGCCAACAGTTCTGTCTGTCTGATTCGTGACACTGAGTTTTACCTGAGGGAAGAATAGAATAATTACAGCTTTGGATATCAAAATATCTGGTGCTATGGATATATCAAAGAGGACAAATAGTAAGGGAATCCAAGAGGTCCACAAACAAAATAGATGATTACCAAAAAAGGCCTTTCCAAAATGATAGCAGATGGAACCTCCACAACTTGCAAGTCAATGTCCTTGTGAGTGATATGCTGCCAAAAGAAAACAAAAAAAGAGCTATGCACTTAGATCAATATCCTTGATTGGGAAAAAGAAAGAAAGAAAGAAAGAAAGAGCTATGCACTTAGATCAACATCCTTGATGAAATACTCAATAAGAAACATCCAAATGATGCTTCAAATATTCCGCCAGCAAGCTGACGTAATAGACCTTATATTAAAAGAAAATCTGCATGACGGTATCAATCACATACATCTTTTGCTAGACTACGTAAATTGTAAAAAAGTAAAGTTCAACATGGTTCCATAAGTTCTTACAAACCTTGGAAAACAATGACCAATCACCTTTTACTTCTAATTGACTGCTAAAAAATAAATATATTATCCTATACTTCAGCTTTTCTTGTTTTATAAGGGAGCGTTTGGATACCATGGTGTTTTTCCCGTTTCCATTAAAAAAAAAACAATGAAACGCGTTTGACAACCGGGGCGTTTTTTTGACTTGACCCTTTACAAAATCCAAAAATTAAGCATTTTTCTCAAAACACCAAAAAAGTGTTTTGAGATTCCGTTTTTTTCATCTAAGCCGCCGCCGCTCGCTTGCCTGCCCACCGGCCGCCGCGTGCACCCTCCGCCACACGGCCCGCGCCGGCGGTGGCGGCTCCCGCCGCACTGCCCGCCTCCTGCGCCGCCGCCGGCCGCCTCGCCCCGGCCGCGCTGCCACGGCCGCCCCATGTCGCCGCCGGCGGGGTGGCTGCCACCCGCCGTCCGGCCGCGCTCGCTCTGCCGCCGGCGTCCCGGCCGACGGCAGCTCCTCCAGCGCCGGCCATCGCCGCCACTCGGTTCGGACCCGCCGGCGCCTGCCCCGCTGCCCGGGGCCAGCCGCCGTGAGTCCGCCCATCCGGCGCGGCGTCAGCCAGCGCCCCCGGTGGACGCCTACCGGCCGCCGTCGGTCGCCCGTTAGCGGCCGCCATCGTCGCCGCGTTGGCGTCGGCCACCGGCCGCCTCGCGACCGCGGCCCAGCCGGCCGCCGCCCTCGGCCCGTCCACCGCCGCCCGTCGGCCGGCCGCCGACCACCCGCCCGCCACCGCCGCTATATAATAGTAACTAACAATGGTGTTTTCAAAACACTTTTGAAAAAAAAAACGCCTTGGCATAGTGTTTTTCTAAAAAACACTACAAAAAAACCCGCCTTGGTATCCAAACACACCCTAAATAACTCCACACCTGTTGTTGAAGAAAAATATCTTTTGCATACCTGCAAAACTTGATCACCAAAAAATCTAATCCTTAATAGGAAACAACTGTAATTATACTAAAATAGAATATCTTTCTGATAATAAGGCTTTAAAACATTTCCAAATCAACTATGATCCTAACATTAATAATGTTCTTTATAAATAAACCTACAAGAAAATTTCTACTAGAGTCAGAATTCTAATACTAAAAGCGGGTACAATCGTTCCTTCTCCTTTTCTCACATATTCTTTTTGTAATTTTCTAAATGCAAGTTGCTCTACAATAAACCCTTCCTAATTGCAGAAAACTTGACATCAGCGTTTGAAATTGGAAGTGAAGAACTTTGAATCAATAGAATGAACTTGAAACTGACCAGAATGAACTTGAAACTGACCACAACTTTGATTTCCTTGAAAATGGTCCTACATCTAAAGAATATCTGAAATTTGGGACTGATCATGGGCGGATTCACCTCGACCGAAGTGGTGATGTGACACCACTTCGGTCAACCAGGAACCAACTTAAGACCCACACCCCAGAAAACTCACCCCACTAAAAATTGACCCCAGGTATAAACCAACAGGGCCCCACTCCTCCAAATTCTCACTCGATGCCATCCAACTAAAAAAGGGTAAATTTCAGAAAATGCCTCCAAAGTCCCGGTGTTTATCAGTAATTCCTCCTAACTTTTAAAATGTAACGAAACCCCTTAAGATTTAGGTTTCTCAGAAAACCCCTGTTACATTTCTTTAAAAAAAACTCTCTAAAAGCGTTAAACACAATTATCACCTCCGAAAATATTTACCTTCGTAATTTTACTCAGCCATGTGAAAAATGTGGTTAATGCCGATAGGTAAAGATGTCAAAAGTTGAAAAGGGTTTTCTGTGAACCCCAAAACTTGAGGGTTTCGTGACAGTTTGAAAGTTGAAGGGGATTATTCGAGGAAAACCTATATTTAAGAGGTTTCTTCTGAAATTAAACTCACCCTGCAAGTTAAGTTTAGAAACTGAGAACCCATGATCATTAACATATGTTAAGAAAGATCAAGGATGTATTTGATAGTGTTGTAAATGATATGATTATGTACTTTTTTCAACATAACTTATTGGAGACAATTGCAATTTATTTAACTATTAATTATGTAATGACACCAATTTTCAGAAATCCTGGTTTCGCCACTGACTGATGATATTGTTCCAGCAATGGTGGATGTCTTCAGCTCTGATACCAAATGGCAAAGAAAAATTTGAAGATGGTTTCAAGCTATTTAGAATTTGAGATTTGGAACAAGAAATTAGAGAGAAAAAAAGATAGGATAAAGAAAAGCAACATCTCATGAGGTTTCACACATCTTTAAAACAACAATTGCATCCACGATTGCATCAAATAACTCAAAACTACAAGAAGACTACAATCTTTCGAGAAATCAAAATTTTCATAAATATATCCACTTTTTAAATGAAGAAAAACCTGACTGTTATAGTGTACAAAATTTGATGACCAAAAAATTTAGTTCTTGATATGGATCGACTCTAATCATGCTAAAACAAAAGGTTGTTCTAATAGTTAAGTCATAAAACGATTCCAAAATTAGCTAAATTTCTAAATCAACTAAAAACCTTATTAATAACTGCATTTCATAGATAAGACTATAATAAAATTTCTACTAAAGGTCAAGTCTAATATTTAAAAAAGTTTCGATCATCTTCTCTTCTCATTTTCTTTTCATAATTTCTTTTGTGATCTTTCCACATTCCAATCCAAAAAAAAAATGTTGTTTTTACATCAGTATGATGTGAGTATACATATTATTATCAAGTAAATATATGAAATTAAAGTATTTCTAAGGTGTTTATTGCTATTCTCTACGGTAAAGTGTTATAATCAATGGTAATGCACTACACTATGCTAGCTGAAGATACTGCTTATACCTGAAAATACTAATTAGTCAATAGTCCTGCTAAAACCAAATACTTTAGAGCGTTGTCATGTATCCCTTATATGAGGGTGTATTATATACCGTATCAGAAAGATACTTTTAACCATTCAATATATTCGGAAGGCCTCCTGAATCTGCCTATCTAACCATAGTTCAATAAATCCTATACAATGCTCTAAAACTTTTGACTGGAGAACAAAATTTTGTACGACGTCCTCACAACTTTTGACTTGACAGAAGCAAATTTGATGCTCTCAGTGTACAGCTACTTTAGTGTTCTTTCTCTTATTCTTCCAAAGAGCACATGTGAAAGTTAAGTAGGACCATCATGTGCAATATAATCTCGATATCATGAATCCAAAGGACTTACCATATGACATAGGTCATTTTTGTGTCAACTCGTTTTGTTCATGGAATTGGCTCATCGAAACCACTGGCAAATGTTTTATAATTATAACATGGCATCAAAACAGGGGCTTGCAAACACATGAATGGTTTCTTGTTAACTGCATTTTGTAACTAATATGGACAATGTGAGGCTGATACATAACGTTTTACCTCATACTTATATGACTTTCTAAATCACTACTTTTCATAAAAGGTTTACTTTTACATTTAGTATTTGGCAAAAGAAACGCCAAAGCAAAGTACAACAAATGGAGAGCATTGTTTACTTAGTTGCGTAATCTGTACACAAGAACCGGATACGTACATGCAACCCTACAATAGTTTATTGACTTCGAGATAACTAAGTGCTAAGAACTGAAACTGGTCATCTATATCCATTACTTCAGTAATATATTGGCATACTCCTATGGCACCACAGCTATAGCAATAAAAAGTAAATTACAATCTACATGCTCCAAGAATTGCCTATACTAAATAACCTCCGAGATAATAGTTGCTATAGCATCTATAAGAAGTGCAAGTCCATCTTGGGTTCGCTAAGATTTATTTCTAATAAGCAATTGCAATTTGCAGGTCAGGTACATGACTATAAATTGTAAATTTCCATAATAGAAGTTGAAAATTGCAAAGGGAAACGGATCACATCATTAGCTTTATGTACTTACAGTACCAATAATGTGCTGTGTCTGCAGGCGCCCAGGTTCACCCAAATTTGTTCGCCACGTAATCTGCAGCTTCCCAAGAATATTGCTTCTCTCCACCTTTACTTCTCCAGATTCATGTGATAATTTCCTAAGCTGATACAGATAATTGAATATTCCTCCACCAGCTCTTATCAGAATAGGTGGCCTGAATATCTCTCTGTCCAAAAGTACATTTAGGCATCAGACAAGATGAATGTAGTCAGTCATTTACTACAAGAAGTATGCTTAGAGCAAACTTTGCAGTATCAGAGAAGTACAAGTAGGTAATGTCCAAGTGATCTGTCCAACCACCTCGTGTTAGTAGTCTTTTCTGCAGCATGCTCATCAGCTTTCAATATTGTCGCACTCCAATTTTGTGCAGGTTCAAACTCAACTTGGTCCATGAAAAGGTTGGATTTTGTGTGGTTCTCAATGCATGCCTCCAGATATGTAATCTCCTGCTATGATTAATGAAGTGTGAAGAAAAATAGAAGTGCATATGATGGAAAATATTCCAAAAAAATACTCACACGTTCCTTAAAATAGACTGTATTTGTATCCTGGTAGAAATTAGAAGTATATAGTACAATAGGAAGTTATTTTTGTCTTCTCTAAGAATAAGTTCTAGCACGTGTGCAAAAGATTGAACCCCAGACATCTTGTCCACTGCACACCAACACTTACAAGGTAACTTTCTTATCCTATTCACATACAAAACAAATTTACCCATTACTCCAATTTTCTTTGAAATTTTATATACCAGAACCAACAGCTTTTCTGAATGACTCATCCATCTACTGAGAACTGAACCAGTAATCAGACGAGGAAGATTGGTGGTTTTACTCTCATCATATGGTCCTACTACTCGTTCGCAGATTGAACATAGGTAAGAGGAAAGTCATAGTTGCATATAAAATTCATGTTCAGTTGTATCTGTCCTGAAGGTGAACTATTGGTTAGAACAATAGGCCATTGATGATCAGTAAAAGAAGGGACCAAGTCCAAATCTCACCTTTTAACTCCCTGTAATACATTAGAAATGTCAAAAATTACTCTCTGAACCAGAGGTTTGATGGGTTGTCTGTAAATTGGTTGGTTAGTCGACCAGTTCTAAGTCGAACAGGGTGTTTCAAGCATGCCTTTGGACATTTGTTGGTTCTTTTATGAATCAGGTTGTTGAAGCGTTCCCGGGTCCAGTCAGATCTAGTCAGATTAGTAACCTAGTACTCACTTCATCTTATAACTTCGATCCAGTTTCATATTCATAGATGGCTGGTCTATTCCGGTTTCTACAACATTTCATCAATCTATGCGGCCTGAAGAAGTCTGTAATGATTAACATCCAAATTACTTCAAAGGATAACTATAGATTCCCTATAATTTTGTAATAATTAGTAACTTAATAATCGCTTCATCTTATAACTTTTACATAATTTCATAATTCATAGATTGGTTATTCCCATTTCTACACATTATATCAATCTGTGTCCTCGAGAACTCTGTAGTACCTTGATGAATATCAAAATTACAGAGATGAATAACTACATATTAGTTTCTATTTATACAACTTTCACCAACTTGTACAACTAATAATCATCTCATCCAGTAACTTCTGGAGCAAACTTCATATTTAATTCCTATAACCTTATTTCACCAAGCATATATTATGACACTCTAAGGTGTTGTTTGACAACGGGTTAAGTGAGGGGTTAAGGAAACTCTACCCCTTGTTAACCAGCCAAACAGAAAAAATCTATACAAGCGTTAAAGTGACTTAAACCCTTCATAATTTGCCAAACGCAAATAATACATAAGGGTCAAACTAACCCCTCTAGAGGGATTAAAATGAGTTAACACCTCAAAATGAGGGGTTTACTAATACTCTTATTTAGAAGGACTGAGAGTTAACCCCTCTATTTATAAAGAATATACTCAAAATCCTCGTTATTCCCAAACACTAAAACTGATCATAAGGGCTAAAATAAAAATTATTTAATGAGTTAACAATTTAGTCCTTTGGCTTATCGAATTGGCTAACTATGTTAATCCTTCTTTTTAATCCTTATTTCTTAACCCTTTGTCAAACGGGGCCTAACACATCAATTAGATTGGCCGTCCACAAATTATATATAATCAATTCCCTCCGTAGACTTATAATATACAAACTACAACCAATGCAACTTAGTCTTACCAGCATCTTACATTATTCCTTTGTCAGTGTTCGAAATCTCAGCATACTTTTCCATTATATATTAAGTGTCATCTCCTGATTCAAATTCACAAATATCATATCCTTTTAGTCAACTCATCTATGTCTGAGCTTACTTCTAGATCATGTACTCCTACTAACAAAAATGAAGTGCTTCCTCTGACTAGTGCTTCATTAGGCTTTTTTTTTACATATCCAATTGACCTTAATAGATCCCCCCTCATCCTAGCAGGAGCAAGCTCTAACTTGACATGGATGCTCATGCACTCATTTGTATCCTATCACTTAAAAGTTTGCTAAGCATCCATTAATAATTCCTATATATGCTACACAATTTCTGGGAAATGTTATTTCTTAACTGCCAGCATTCTCACACATTAAGTTGTTGATTTTGTAGTCTACCTGCGGAACTTCTCATCAATTTCATGGATATTCTACGATTATAAAGACTCTAGGACCACTTCTTCACTTTAATCATCCCCCTTTAATTCTATGAATCACATTTCCTCAGTCTACCATTATTTGAATTTTGACATGATACAATAGCAGGCAGTTTTTCACTCCAGGCCTGCACAGTCATAAGCATTTAATAGAATCAGTGTTATTGTTGTTACTTATTTTACATGCTATCACTTTTAAAGGATCACTTGACAATGTTAGAGAAGATGCCTGTTATTCATCAGTCTTAGGCGACCTTTCAGAAAGCAGATATCTTGTCCATCATTAGAAGCCAATCTTTTAAAATTTTTACAGATGAAACCCCCAACCCATTTGAAAAAGACCTTAGTAATTTGTTGCATGTTCTGTTTGGTAAAGAATTACCATTTAAACATCCCTCCATACAATACAAAGCTCATGGCTTGTTCTTCGCCTTTTACACAGGAAAGCTTAAGTTCACAGGTCTCCCCCAAAAAAAAAAAAAAAAAAAAAAAGAATATTAGATGGTATGGGGTTTCATCGAATGTCAATCATGGGAAAGTGTTACCTCCAGATCCAAGCAACAGTTTCAATTAGGTTTATTGCAGCTCCTCTGCTTATCCTGTTCCTTTTCTTACCACATCATCCATGGTCTGTACTCCTATAATGGTCATCACTCACCAGTAACCATATAACTGTTCCTCTCTTACCATCCTGCATCATGTCAAGTATTTGACTCGCAGGGAACTGGTTAATATTGTCCTCCGCATATTCCCACTTCACACAAATCCACCCCTGGACTTTCCAACCACTCGTCAATCTACAGGAGCCAAGACTAAGTCTTTGAACCAAACAAACATGAGCCTGTTATTGCAACATCAAAGGCGAATATGAAAAATTCATAAAATGTACTTTTTGATGCTTTATGTTTATCAACTTTTTAAATTCAATTGTGTACAGAAGTAGCCTATCATACTGGTATATGTTGCCTCACATAAAAGAATGTCTATGTCAGACAACCTTTTAAGTCTGATGTTATTATCTATAGACAGTTAAACACCTTAGATGTCTTTAGATTTACAGTAATATCACTTAGAATAATGTTCTAGCGAATACAAACACATTAAATGAAAGAAGGTTGAATAATGTTCTAGTGAATACAAACACATTAACTGAAAGAAGGTTGACACCCAAAGGCCTGAAGAATCAAAGATAAGGCATATGATTCCATCATACAAATCCTGTAACCTGTTGATAGCATAACATACTGACAAACATGTAATTATAAATGTATTTGATTGTTCAAATTCAACATAAGTTGATGCGTAACTTACAATCAACATGTTCGTCAAATCTCAAAACAAGACCTACCTTCACAGCGCGAACCTGTACAAAGAAAGAAGCAGTGTTGTCAGACAGAATGATTTAATATCATGAATAATAAAATTCCGGTTGCTTGCAGATAAAGGCTAAGACCTTGACTGGATGAAAACATATAGTTTAATTGTTAGTAACTACAGAATTATTGTATGCTGAAAGTTCGGTCAGAATAGACATGTTTGCTATCTCATGAACAATTAGCAAAGAGATATACCTTTGTTCTCACTGAAAGTGGATTTGCAACATTAAATTTGAAAAATTGTGGAAGATATTTCCGCTCACTGTCACCATCATTGTATAAAGCAGTGCAGACAAGCCTAGACATAAGATGGCAATGCATCTCAGTGACAACAAAGTTATCACTAGAAAAATCCAAGAAACAATTTAAGGCATATGCATGTACAAAGGCACCCTACGTGTGAGGTCCAAGTTCCTTGACATCATGTTCAACAATGAAATCATATCGCCCCCCTGACCGTATTGATTCAACAGGAGCTTTTGATGTATCCAACAATAGTATCCGCTGCTTTTCCGTCTGAATTTCAGCCTGCATTAGCCACAAACTTTTATAAGTATGAACAATGATTGACTGCAATATCTTGATAATGTCCTATGACCACTATATAAAAAAGCAAGTCAAATATGAACATCCAACTAACCCAGAAATATAAATCTTCAATTGGAATTGTAAAAAACGTTAGGCAATCTAGCTTGCATTATTTACTTCCACACTTCTTCCATTACACACCTTGAATTATTTATCATAGAGAAAAGAATTATTATGTGTAATTTCTAAAAGCTATAACCTATGTTGCACGGACGAGTATGAATATTGGGTATAAGTCTATAAGATAATACCAACATATAAATACAATGAACTTCCACAAAGTTGTTGACCATAAGAAGGCTGTAAAACGTGTAATTAGCTATTGACAGCCACAATGAGGCTATCTTCATTTTTAAATTCATCATGTTTATGATTTTCTACTTGTTTGATATGACCATTTTTCTTAAAACCTCACCCCCTCTTCAAAATCCTACATCCAGTACGACAAATTGAATTTCTTTTTGAAGAAAAAATTAGGTCAACAATGGAACCTATTTATATATTACAACGATTGAGGGGAGAGATATAGAAAGAAGTGAGAGAATCTACATGTAGTTTTTATTGTCTAGACAAAGCCTAGATATATTGCCAAGAGAGAGAATGTGCCGGATTTTAGAAAAGAAAGAAATATGCAATAATTATATTGATGTGATTAAAAATACATATGATTAAACAACAACTAGGGTGAGAACAATTGCGGAAGAAAAAATTTACAGCAATGATCGGCTCTAAGCTCTTATCTTTTGCATTAGCCATGAATGAACTTACAAGACATATTCAAGATGAAGACCTATGACGTATGTTATTTGCTCATTATATAATATTGGGTAATGAGGCTGAAGAAAGGATTATGTTATATCCTAAAAATTACCAAGTCTAATAAACAGCTAAAAGTCGGATGCATGTCATGATTAACTGACCAAGTCCCACAAATTTGAAAGCCCAATTCGTATATAGACCTCGCTCATATCTCATATTTGACCCACTTCCCGAAAAAAGACGTCTTCAGGCTAGTTCTGCGACCTGGGTACGAGGCGAAAGGCATCTTCTACTCGAGTTCGCTAGATAATGCCTTGAATAGCAAGATGATCTACCAGTTTTAACAATCGTACTTCGCCGCTCAGTCACACTCGCATTTAATGTTGAGTCAGAGTCATCATAACTCTTCAGGCCGAAATAATGACTCCTCAGACCACGCCAGTATTTCAGCCACTCTATCACTGTCACATTAAACATGAAGGTGACTCATTCAACCAGCTACTGACACGTGTAAAGTGCGGTTTGATTAGCAGACTGAACCGACCTAGTCAAATTACCAATATGCCCCTATCAACCTTCTATAAATAGTGGGCAATCTCCACTATTCGAAGGTACACAACTTTAAGATACTTAATCTCCTGAAACTAGATTCTGCATATCTAGTCAATCATTGACTAACTTAAGCGCTGAAGGGTATATCGAAGAACCCAACATCGATCCTCTTACGATGTCATTTGTGCAGGAATCTTCTTTCATTCTGTTGATTAGCCATCAAAGAAGATCAAGAGACCCTAAACTCCTCCAAATACCCAGTTATCCCCACAGTTAACTATCTAACATAAATAAATTACTTTTAAAATAGAAAGGCGTAGAGAAGCACTCGAACCTAACGACTTCACAATTAGTAGAATTAGCACAATAAATACATAATTCAATTTGAGTAAACTCTAAAAAAAGAATGAGGGTATAGTTATTGACGTAAAGAAATACCTATGAGTAATTATTTTTGCTATTTATGATCAATTATTCGTCAATATGGTGTGTTTGAGGATGATATTGTCCATCAAATTAACTCATAATGTTTAAAGTGGAGAAGTTCTTTGGGAGTTTTATATGATCGTAGAATAGCACGAAAACTAAATTTGAAGCGAAAGTTCTATAGCACAATTATAAGATCCACAATGCTTTACAGAATATTGGGCAATTAGAAAATATGCAAAAAATGTGTAGCAGAAATGCAAATGTTACGATGAACAAGCGGATTAATATACAATAAAAGGATATGATAAGATATGAATGCATTCGTAATAAGTTGGGGGTTGCCCTTATAGAGGATACAATGAGAGAATTGATTGAGCTGATTTGATCATGTGTAAGGCCATCACATGCACTAATTAGGAGGAGTGATAATATTATAATGAATGGAGAAAGGCGTAGAGGTAGGCCCAAGAGAACTCCATTACGAAGGATATGATAATGCTTCACTCAGTGTTGGAGATAGCCTTCAACAAAATTGAATGAAACAGTAGCATTTGTATAGCCCACCCCAAACATTTCGGATAAAGACTTTGTTGTTGGTGGTGTACATATTGCCAATGTCTCCTATCAGGACTATTGTAAAAGTTCACAATAAACTCGAAGTTTCTTTTACTATAATGGCATTCTTATCATGTTCTCACGCTATATTCTCTGCATTTAAACCATTTCTTCTCACAATAATAGGTAGCACAGAAATTCTTTAAACCACAAACTTTGCTACACTCTACAGAACACCTTCTCCTTCTCCAGTCCTTCCAACCGTCCATATAAATCTATGCTCTAAAATTCATCCATAATAAGCAAACAAAAAGAACAACTTTCCATCTCAGGCTATTCCCAATCCCCGGCTCCCACAGCCTCCATCCTCTCATGGCGCAGGTCAGACTCTAAATATCAGATTTTTAGGGCAAAAGTTCACATCTTTAAGAGAAGTTAAGCAAATATCATGTTTTCGTTCTGCAGAAAGCTGAGATTGACCAGCATCGTGAAGGGAACGGCGGGACTCACAAAGTTTGAGTCTTTACTTCAATTTATTTCTCGGACAAAAATTTAGCCTCAAACTTTATTAAGTTTTTGTTGTTGTCGCAATCAAAGGTGCTACATTTTTCCTAACTAGAGAATCACCAAGGAATGCTCCTGTGCAAAAGTATGCAGTAGATTGAGAAGTTTGATCTTTTACTTTCAATCAATGCGAAATGGAAAAATAAAAATAAAGATACTAAATTCTACCCTCCTCCATAAAATCCCCAGTCCTAACATAAATATGCAATCAAACTAAGCAAAACCACAAAGATCACCTTGATAACGACATCCCTAGCTTCGAAGCTGGAGCTATTGTTAATACTGATGTAGCTGCAGAAAGTCTCCCCCAAATAAATAGCTCTAAAAAAAATTCAACAACGCAAGCGCAGATAAGCAGTCAAGATTCAAACTTTCACCATCAAATGTCGAATACAGCAGAAGAACCGAGAAGAGAGAGGAAACGAAACCCGAAGGATTGGGGGAGGATGAGGTGGCCGAAGAGCGGGAGGGCGTCGGTGGGGTTATTGGAGAGCAAGGAAGCGGCGGTCTATATCTAATATATCCGATTCTGGCGAGAACTGCAGATACGAAAATATGATGATGGAGAGGAGGCCGGGGGCGGCGATGAGGTCCTCGCCGGCAAGAGTCGGCGGCGTCGAGGCGGAGGACGGCGTCGTCGGGTTGGAAGGAGGGGCGGCAGAGCCGCATCACGCCGGAAAGGACGAATGTGGAGTGGTTGCCTGAGCCGAAGGGGGTTGCAGAGATGGGAATGAAGAAATCGTCCATTCGAAGGAGAGATCGATGAAGATCCAGACGAAGAAGAAGAAGAAGAAGTGGGGTATTTGGGGTATTTTGGGAATTTTAATGATATATTTGGTTCGTTTTTCCGCTGTACTCCAAATCTTTACATTTTTTTTATTTTAGTCCCCGAAACTGCCTTAATTTGTTGATACCGGCCACTTCGTTAGCTTGAGCGTTCAAAAATCTAACCCCCGTTCAGCTTAAAGTTGATCTCATCTTGAGCAATGGTAATTGGTAAAGGTGTATTTGTGTAGTATCCTCTTTTTTTCAAGAGCTACATTTCCCTCAATTGCACCCCAAATTAGGGGAAATAAAATGTCAAAAAAAAAAAATCCCTTTCATTACTTAAGTTCCCTCTCATTATCTACCTCAAAATGAATTCCCAAACAAAGTTAATGGGTCCTCTACATTATCTTAACTCTCCATACCCCCAGTCTAAACAGACTATAAAAAACACCCATATGTGCCGTTTGATAAAGGGTTAACTGAGAAGGGCTAAAGAGAAAGATTAACTTAGTTAACTTATCGTGAGGGCTTAAAATTATTTCGATTCTGATTGGGTTAGATGGTTATGATGAAATGTAAGTTTTTTTGCGTTTGGTCAATAACGAAGGGTTAAGAAGGGCTTAAGAAAGTTAACTCTCCAAGTTTTTAAAAATGTCAACTTTAACCTTATCGAAATGACGATATCCCTTGCTCAATTTTTTCTTGAAATGCATAGCAAAAGGGCTACAAATATATCTTATTACCAAAAGAAACAAAAATACTATTTTTGTTTACAGCCACATAGCCGTATAAGTTTATTTCTTCTTTCTATAACACAATACGCAAGCTTTATGCCTGAGCTCGTACGAATTATTTTGTTTCTTTGTTTGTATATTGGGTTTTTTTCTCTCTATGATTTTCTTCTTTCATTATGATCTTGCTTTTAAAATTTTAATTATATACACTAAGGGTTTTTTTCTTTGGACTGCTACTCCTTCAAAAGTAAATGACTTCAGCCGGAGTTTTTTTTTCTTATTAGGGGCTGTTTGGTTCGCTATTATAAGGGGTGGAAAACTCAGAAAACCCCTCCACGTCAGATTTTTAGCCCTCCACGTCAGCTTTTTTGTTTCCGTCTATTTCTTTGTGCCGCTTTGGTTCGCTCGAATGGAAGAGGAAAAACTCTGCTGAAATCGCCGCCAACTAAGATTTTTTTCCCTCTCCGATTTCCTTCCCCAACCAAGTGAAATTAATGAAAACTCTGGCACGTCAGATTTTTTTCCTTCTCTGCTTTGTTTACAAAAGCTTTCCTTTTTTTTCTATGCGAACCAAACACAAGAAAAATAAATACATTGGTTTCCCACTATTTTTTATGTGCGAACCAAAGCAAAACAATCTATTTCTTGGAAAAGTTTGGAAAACTCAAAACTTGTGTTTCTTTACATGGAATTGCATTTCTCTATATCAAGGAAACGAACCAAACAGCCCCTTAAAGAAATACAAAATGAAAATGTGGATAAATTTTATATTAAAATTTAAAATTTAAAATAGATGGCTTAACCACCACTCATCCATTATAACATCTCTTTTTTTTTAATATTTCAAAATAAAAAAATGAAAATAATACATCACTTAATAAGTATCTGCATAATTCTTATTTTGAATTTAAAAATTCAAATTAGAGAGGAACACATGACAGTTTTTTATATACAAAGGAGCATTTAAGCCTTTTTTTTCCATATCTACTTTTTTATGCAGATCAATTTCTTCTTTCGCACATAGAATAGTTCTTGTCTTAGTTTGACACCAAGGTATGTTATAACAATAGTAACTATGCTCTTCATTTGAAACCACTAACATCTATCCTCTCTATAAAAATTGAAATATAAGTAAATTTCACTAAATCCCCAACAAATTTTGGCATTTGACACTAAACCCCAAAAAACGCCCCAAATCCTTTGGCGAAAAGCTTCTAAATTAACAATGTTAGTTAATGTTTGGTCAAACGACCAAAATACCTCTAATAAATTTTAGAAGAAAACACCCAATAAGCATTTAGTTTTGTCACTTAACCCTAACAACTTTCACAGAAAACCCTTAATGATGGATGTTTGTTACTTTCAAGGTTCTGTGTTTAATTTGATTTGTGAGGAGGCTATTTCTATTTTTTGGATTTTTAAAAGGGGTTGTTTGTAATTTTTTGTTTTTTGCGTGGAGCTATTTATAATATTTAAACTTTTAGGTAGTTTTTTGTATTTTTGACTTTTTAGGGTCTTCTTGCACATTTAGATTTTTAGAAGTTTTTTACAATTTTAGATTTTTAGGCGGTTATTTGTAATTTTTGTATTTTTTTAATTGATCTATTTGTAGTTTTGAAGTTTCTTGGGTGTTTTCTATAATTTTTAGAATTTTAAGGGTTAGTTTTAATTTATAGACTTTTCCGGGGGTTCGCTGTAACATTTAGAATTTAAAATATTTTTTTAAATTTTTAGATTTTTCAAGGATTTATTTGTAGTTTCATATTTTTGAGAGCGTTGTTTATAAGTTTTACACTATTTAGGAGTTATTTATAATTTTGTAGATTAATATGCAAATAGGAATGATTTGTGGTGTATACATTGATCTTTTGGGATAATGTTCATCATCGTAAAATTATGGGGTAATATTCTTATTGGGTTAAGTGCAAAAAAAAAAGTCAAACTGATTTGGTAGTTTTCTAAAATTTTAAAACTTATTTGTGGTTTCATAAAATTTGCGGGCTTAGTGCCAAACGACTAAATTTGTTGGAGATTTAAAGAAATTTATCTTTTAAAAAGTTAACAAGAGCCATGCTGTAATTGTTTGAAATTAATTTTCAACTTCCTAATACCGAGATGCATGTCGATGATTCGTGTACACCAGGCTGGCTAAAAGAGGGTTGAGAATTGGATCATAAAAGGATCAGGCCAGAAAATCTTGCGTGATGGTAAATAATGGTGAGTTTATGCATCTTTGAGTGTAAAGTGACTGATGAAACCATAATGAACTATTTCATATATATATTTTTTCCTGTTGATGTTTATAAAATTTCATTTACTTCAACTTCTCAACTAGGATACTTCTGCTATCACTGCTAAACCTCCAACTTAATTTCAAGTTTTTTGCTTTTGTAATTTGATGCTTTAAAAGGTGTAGAGCAGAATACAGAGGCGTATCGCAACTTATTGTTGGTACCTAAGAAGTGATGTTTCCTTTCATTACTGAACTGGGGACTACTTTGTTTTGTATGCGGATGAAAATTGGGAGGACGTAGTTTAGGGATAATTTCTGTCGTAGTGTCGTTCGGAATTATTAGATTTTTTTTTATTATCGATAAGCATAGAGAATTAAAAGTATGATTATAAGATTTTTTTTAATTATGGATAATTATGATTTGATTAGGATTACCAAATATCTGACTATGATTAGAAATTTCTAATTCTGGATAGATTTAATTTGATGAGAATTTTAATTATGTATAGAAAGTAAACTCATTATACAATGATCTAATTTAATATTACAAAAGCATATGACACGTGACATTATTTTATGAGCTTAGATGGCATTGTTTTGTGCCTTTAGTGGTACCACCAATTTCTCATTAGATATAAAAAAGAAAGAGGAGCAATGCTATTGGCATTATTAAATTGGACGCTAGACTAGATTTAATGGTATACTAGAGAGAGGCATTACATGAATTCTATTTCCACTGCTTCCATTAATTTTCTGCTGGATGCTTCCCAATTACTAAATCAATTTTCATCAAATCAAGCATCCATTGGAATAAGATTTGGGTACAAGTATTTGAAGTGGGATCTCGTCGATGATGTCTCCGTGGACGGAGCACAGCCGACGGACTCTTGGTTACGGCTAGCCAAGTATATTTTGCTTTGTATGAATTAAGGGGTTTCTTTTGGACTCTTTTGTAAATTTCACATGCTACTACGTGCGAGGAGGCGGGGTAAAAGGTTACTCCATTCCTCCTCACGGTTTAACAAAAACATTAGGCTCCGTTTGGCAAAGAGTTAAGGAAGAAGGGTTAAAGAGAAGAATTAATGTACTTAGCTCATTCGATAATAGGATTAAATTATTAACCCGTTAAATAAGTTTTATTTTAGCCCTTGCGATCAGTTTTTGTGTTTGGGAATAACAATGATTTTGACTATTTTCTTTATAATTAGAATGGTTAACTCTTATTCCTTCTAAATAGGAGTATTAGTAAACCCCTCATTTTGAGGGGTTAACTCATTTTAATAACTCTTATTCCTTCTAAATAGGAGTATTAGTAAACCCCTCATTTTGAGGGGTTAACTCATTTTAATCCCTCTAGAGGGGTTAGCTTAACCCTTCTATATTTTTTATGTTTGGTAAATTATGAAAGGTTAACTCACTTTAACCATTGTATAGATTTTTTATGTTTGGCGGGTTAAGAAGTGGTTAAGTTTCCTTAACCCCTTACTTAACCCTTTGCCAAACGGTACCTTAGGATTTTTGTTGTGATAGTATTTTCATGTGGACATGAGGCTTCCTAATATTTAGGAAAATAAACCAAACATCCCCTTATAGTGGAATAGAGTTTTTAAATTAGTGTTAACTTTCAGACTAATGATATTTTAAAGAGTTCTCATGATATTAAGGGACCGTTTGGTTGTTGTTTGTAAACTAGTGTATCTATGACACGAGTTAGAAAGTTGTTATCCACCTCAGCGTTTTCACTTTCACATATTTGTTTGTCTGGTTTAGATTATGTTGGAATCATCAAATGAAAATAAGGTTGTTGTTTGGTTTACCTGATGAATTTGTAGAAAGTGGCAGTTTTGTGGAGCCCGCTCAAATAGATAATACTACCATAGGTAGATTACTTCTAATTAGATTTAAAAAAATCTAATAGAATGTTATGATCATTATACTACATTAAGAAGTTATTAAATCCAAAAATAATTAAACCCAAAAATCTAATAAATTGTTATGGTCGTTATACTCTATTAATAAGTTATTAAAATTAATACATTCACAACCATACAATTAAACCCACCTAGAACACATTTTTATTTGACGTTTCATACACCCCCTGGACAACAGTCTTCTGAACATCTTCCAATCCTACTTCACTAAAATAAAAGAAAATAAATCAATCAATAAATAAAAATACATTAAATGCTTGGATCCTTGGGCTATAACTAGCACAAAAAAAAAAAAAAGAATTGCTTCTTTTAGAGAGTGAAGCACACTTATTATAGCTTCTTGTTTAGATGACTATAACCCATGATATCAATAGCCATCAAACCGAAATCATTCACGCATCTCGACTTCGTCGTTTGCTTGGGAAGTCCCATTAATTTGGGTGATGCGGTGGTCTTCTTCTTATTTGCCATGTCACATCTTTGTTTGTGTAACCAAACAAACGAAGTAAGATGGGAATTCAATTGAAAACTGGCACAATCTGACACTTTTGCTTGCTTTCCTTCAAAAATTTGGCAACCAAACAACCAACATTTTCAAATATTAGTCTCTTAAATCTTTTACATTTTGATTTAGTCCCTCAAATCATTGAAATAGCTATCAAACCCCCAATTCTTTAGTTATTTTGAAATAGTCCATCAAATAATTAGTTCATCAAATTCATTGAAATAAAGCTTGGAAGTAACAAGGGAAATTAGTTCTCCAAATTATTGAAATCTCTGTTAGGTTTCCTTATTCTCATATATTTAAAGTTGTTCTCTCTAATTACTACTACTACTACTTTTGATCTGAGGGACTAAGTTTAAAATAGCTTAAGAAGGACCTAATAGCAAATTTAATGATTTGTGGGATATGACTTAACTTGTGAGGGAGCTAATAGCATTCCCAATGATTTGAGGGACCTAATATTAATCCAATGATTTTAGGAACTAATTTGAAATATGAAAGATTTAGGTAACTAATTTCGACAAAACCCATGCAAGTATAACTAGTAAACCCAAGGGTAAGTTACACCAAAACCCCCAAGAAATTTCAGCGTTTTGTAGCAAGACCCCCAAAAACTTCCAAAATTGCACTAAACCCAAATACTTCTGTAGAAAATAGCAATATTTGTTTAGTAAATTGCACTAGGCCCTCAATAACTTTTAAATGCCTTTTCTTATTTCCCCCCCTAATTTATGGGATTTATTTGAAAAAGGCAAAGACCTATGGAGGGAACGCAGGAGTTATTGGAGGGTCAGTGCGATTCTAAAATTGTTGGGTGGTTTTCTGCCAATTTCTGAAAGTTCTTGGGGTTCTAGGGTAATTTACCCGGAACTAAATATCTTTTGCACACTCGACCCTTTCCTCGTGACTTCTTCAGCCCCAATTACTTTTACGATCTCCACCTCCCTCGAAAAAAAACCAAACCCAACTCTCCAAAACTCTCTGTTCACGACTCTAGGGTTAGTGCTCATAAACCAATCGATTATTTTTTAGGGTTTTCACCGCTTGCTTCCCAACGAAGAAACCCCAATCGTAAAGACCCGTTCCATTAGCGACTTTCGCCGGCGACCTCATCTTCTAGGGTTAGGGATTGGGGTCGCCCATCGCGATCGAATCGAATCAATTTTCTTAGGGTTTCTAGCTTTTTGCTTACCGATGAAGTAACCCTTAATCTAAAGATCTGTTCTTTGCCCGTCCATTGGCCCCGCCGACGACTTCATCTTGTATGGTTAGGACTCGCTAATCGCAGTCGAATTCAATAAATTGATCTACTAGGGTTTTTTTTATAAAAACTTTTCCTTCTCGATGAAGAAACCCCCATCCTAAAGGCCTGTTCTGCGTGCCCGTCAATGGGTCCCGCCGGTCGAATATCAGCATATTCCTCCCTCCCGCCGTCGTATCCTCCGCCGATCGACCGCCGTCGACGGCGTGTTATGGCGGAACATCCAGTACCTGCTCAACATCTCCGCCATCGGCGCCATCTCCTGCCTTCTCGTCTTCCTCCTCGTCAAGCTCCCGCAGCGACCACCGCCTTATCCCGGGGCCCACCGCCCTTGCCACCAAGCTCCTCGCAGTCTACCACGCTCACATCGCCCTCCACTGCGGCGCTGACGCCGCCCAATTCCTCCACATCGAGCGCTCCAGCTTCTTCGTCCTCCTCGCCCTCTCTCTTCTTGCTTTAACTGCTGCTCTGCCCCTCAATCTCTACGCAGGCACCGCCGCGATCCTCGACGACTTCGCCAAAACCACGATAACACACATTCCGAAGGGATCGCCCATCCTCTGGGCCCACTTCGTTCTCATGGTGCTCGTGGTGGTGGTCGCTCATTTTGGTATCTCGAAGATGGAAGAGATGTTAAGGCATAAGAGATTTGAGGAGGGGGATGCGGCAAATGCTTCGACTTCCAGCACGGCTTCGCCGACCAATTCGATTGCTTTGTTTAGCATTATGGTGCAGGGGATCCCGAAGGGTTTGGCGGCTGATAAGGCTCCTCTTGAGGAGTATTTTCAGCATAGGTATCCTGGTAAAGTTTATAGAGTGGTTGTTCCTTTTGATTTGTGTACTTTGGAAGATCTTGCTGCGAAGTGGACCAAGACCCAGAATGAGATTTCTTGGTTGGAAGCTCGATTGGATGCTAGGTCTCTGAACACTAATGAAGATGGAGGTGATGACGAGATCGTGCTTGGTGCAAGTGGCGATAATTTTTCTCAAACTTGGAAGAGAAGGTTGAGAGATATGTGGGCGAGACTGCGTGCGAAATTGGGGTTTACTGATGAGGAGAGGCTAAGGAAGTTGCAGAATTTGAGAATGGAATTGGAGAATAAGTTGATGGAGTATAAAGAAGGGCGAGCACCGGGAGCTGGGATTGCTTTTGTGGTGTTTAAAGATGTTTACACGACGAACAAGGCGGTAAAAGATTTCAGGACAGAGAAGAAGAAGAAACCCATTGGTCAGTTCTTTCCTTTGATGGAGCTCCAGCTTGAGAGGAGCCGGTGGAGGGTGGAGCGGGCTCCACCAGCTTCTGATATCTATTGGAGCCATTTGGGTTTGAGCAAGCTCTCCCTTAGGCTCCGTCGAGTTGCTGTTAACACTTGCCTTTTACTTCTGCTCTTGTTCTGTAGCTCGCCACTTGCTTTGATTAGTGCTATGAAGAGTGCTGCTAGGATCATCAATGCAGAGGCCATGGACAGTGCTCAGTCATGGCTAGATTGGTTCGAGGGCTCGAGCTGGCTCGCATCTATAATTCTTCAGTTCTTGCCGAATGTGGTTTTATTCGTGAGCATGTACATAATAATCCCATCTGTCCTGTCTTATTTTTCCAAGTTTGAGAGGCATCTAACTGTTTCTGGAGAGCAACGAGCTGCTATGCTGAAGATGGTTTGCTTCTTTCTCGTGAATCTCATTTTGTTGCGAGCTCTTGTAGAGTCTTCACTGGAAAGTGCTATTCTTGGGATGAAGAGGTGTTACTTGGATGGAGAGGACTGCAAAAGAATCGAACAGTATATGAGTGCGTCGTTTCTTTCGAGATCTTGTCTCTCCTCACTTGCATTTCTCATAACAAGTTCCTTTTTAGGGATATCCTTTGATCTATTGGCTCCTATTCCTTGGATAAAGAAGACCCTAAAAAAGTTTCGGAAAAATGACATGCTACAGTTGGTTCCTGAGCAGAATGAAAATTACATTCCGGAGCAGAGTCAGGATTCTAATAATAATCTTCGGATGCCCCTGATGTCTGAGAGAGAAGACAGTTCGGGTTTGAATGGTATTGAAGCTCAGGATCTTTCAGTTTACCCGATCAATAGGAGCTTCCATGCCCCAAAGCAGACGTTTGATTTCGCACAATACTATGCTTTTAACCTCACGATATTCGCTCTCACCATGATCTATTCGTTATTCGCTCCATTGGTGGTTCCTGTGGGCGCCGTTTACTTTGGGTATCGTTACATTGTGGATAAGTACAATTTCTTATTTGTGTACAGAGTTCGCGGCTTCCCATCTGGCAATGACGGGAAGTTGATGGACAGGGTTCTCTGCATCATGCATTTCTGTGTGGTCTTGTTTCTTCTTGCAATGTTGCTGTTCTTTTCGGTTCAAGGAGACTCGACAAAGCTGCAGGCAATATTTACACTTGGTTTGTTGTTCTGTTATAAAGTGCTTCCTTCCAAGACTGATGTCATTCAGCCATCGATCTTGGAAGGCATGCAAACTGTGGAAAGCTTTGTTGATGGGCCTACTGATTATGAGATCTTTTCACAACCTGAGTTTGATTGGGATATTTTTCAACAATGAGGAAATGGAAATGTGAACCATATTCAGATAAGCGTACTAGTGTCAAACTAAATGCCAGTTATGATAGATAAGTATGCTTGGTTTCATAGAAAATGCACTCTTTTGTAAGAAGGTGACTGCTCATAATTTATTTGGTGTACAATATCATTTTTTTTCTTCTTTGGCATTTTTTTTTGTTCTTTGTTTAATGCTCTGGTATTCAGTGTAGTTCTTCTAAAGTCAAGACTTTAAGCGCAAAAAATAGTTTTAATGTTGACATGTTGTTGCCCATTCGTCACACAATGTTGTATATTCATAATATTCAAGAATGTCTTATCATCCACTTACTTCCATGAATACCTGACTATAATCTTTTGATTCTTTCTTTTTATCAATTGAATTTTGAACAAAGTATTAGGTTGTCGCTCTCAAGAGCAGACAATCCTAGAGCCAAAGGATTTTGACGAAGAAAAGCTGAAGGAGATCTCTTAGAACTGCTTTCAGTCTTTTCAGTTGGGTGCTAAACATTTAATTGGATCAATATCTACGGCATCTAGATGCTTTTGCAGGTCTTCTTTCTATGGTATAATTTTTTTTCTCATCTAACCTAATTGGATTTTCTTTATTTTCATTTTCTTCACTATAATAACTGGACTGATACCAGGCAGCTGCAGTGCTCTATTGAAGACTTTCTTAACTGCAGTTGCCAGACTCAATAGCTCCCATGTTTGTCAAATTATTACCCAAATTTGTGAATAATGTTTAAGATTGCTGGTTAAAGTTACGGTTGGTGCCTGTCCAAAATTTGGCTTATCCAGAGTTGAACAAGTTAACAGTTTAGGTATCAATGATACAAAATCAAATGCCATAGTCTGGTGTCTTCGTACATGCTGCTTTTTTCATTTATTTAATTTTACAATGCAGATGTAAACATTGAGATGAAGTGCCTGGTTCAAACACCAACTATAAGATATGTGTTGTTCATAAATTATACCCTTAGTTCTGGAAATTGTTTGGGTATTTGTTCTCATTTTGATTAACTAGCATACACTCTAGCATACACTCATTTTGATTAACTAGCATACACTCATTTTTGATTAACTAGTCTGGTGTCTTTGTCCTTGGTTGATAGTTCATGAGCCTGGAGCTTCCGATGCTGTGGAGGTTTCCGTGTTCCAAAAGTGTAGGCAGTTCGGACATTTCACCCACCACGAAAGTAGTATAAATTGGATTCTTAATGTATATTTGATTTTTCTCATTGTCACGTGACTGATTTTGTAATGCTAATACAGCCATAATGACGCTACTTGCTGTATTTTTTGTGAACATGTATCATTCGGATTGCGCGTTCGTTTGCAAATTTCTGGTGAATATGTATCATTCGGATTGCACGTATTTTCTGTGAATTAATTAGTAACGTTGTTATTTGCGGAAACTTCCTAGACGCGTATTCTAGATGAAATTCCGTCTAGGATACTCATCCTATCCTAGACGAAATTATGTGTATCCTAGACGGAATTTTTCATCTAGGATGCCTCATTTTTTAGTAGTGAATATTATCATGATAATAACCCTTCAACTTTGGTTCTTAAAAGAACTTTACATCACCAATCTAATTTGTATTAAACCATATAAAATTTGTATTATGACCTACAAAGGGCTTCATATTTTTACTAAACCACATAAAATTTATATTACTCAAATCAGCTACCTAAATGCAATTCCACAATCTAATAACTAATCAATGAACCCAAAAGCTATATTTAATAAAATTATTAAACTATAAATATGAAGTCATTTAAGAATTAATTAAGGGAGAAGCAATCATAATACACTGGTAAGTTTGAAAACCAAGAAATAGCTAGCAAAAAAGTATAAAGATAAAGAGGCCCAATAAAAAAAGATTTTCCCTAAATGACGAATCAAACACTGATCAAAATCAAACATGAATAGAAAAAATTTGTCTAAATCAAACATGAACAACAAAAATAAACCCTAATCAAGTATCTGACTATATGAGGTTCAAATCTTACCGCTAGCAAGTTTTCCTCATTTGTACGGTCTGATTGAATCAAATCCTATAACCACATCAATATGATTTCCCTAAAACTAAAATAAAATCTCAACAAAACATATCATAACTTTAAGAGGAAATCTTTAAATATGAAAAAACTAAAAGGCATTTTATAGTATGGCGGTCTGATTGAATCAAATCCTATAACCACATCAATATGATTTCCCTAAAACTAAAATAAAATCTCAACAAAACATATCATAACTTTAAGAGGAAATCTTTAAATATGAAAAAACTAAAAGGCATTTTATAGTATGGATCACACCTTGATTTTCTCGACGACAATGGCTGAACATAGCCCACTCATCCCTACAATGAATACTATAGTTAACATGAATTATCATGAATTAAGTGCAAAGTTAGTATAAAATTTGGTGATATCTTTAAAAATACAACAAAAACAATACCAATGAGCAATCAGAGGATATACTTGTTCGAGGGATCTGTAGTTATCGGCAATATGTGAATACCTCCTATTCAACCTCGGCCCTGGCCTCGATGCAGAAGAAGTCTGCTTCGGAAGGTGGGGCTGAGGCGACGGCGGGTACGCCTGAGGTGGGGGGTTACCCATAAGCCTGAGAATAAGAATCAAAGCTTTGCGTTGACGCCAGAGACTGAGGAGGAGAATAAGAATCAAAGATTAAGCCTTTTTTCCTTCTCTAGGTCTAGTAGGTAACCCCTGTTAACGTACGCCACGCCCTTGATTCCCCCGCTAACATGTGCCATATTCGAGAGTTTCCCGTTGAGATCTACGGTGAAGATCTCTCCGGGGAGGTGGAGACGAAGACGTTTCTAGTGTCGAGATCGATGGCGGCGGCGGAGTTGGAGAAGGTGTCGGGGAGGAGAGAGGAGAAGATGAGGCAATGGGGGATGGGAGATCGGAGGTCGTAGGAGGACATCATGGCGAGAGAGTAGAAAGCGACGATGAGAAGGCGACAAATGGAGTCGACGGCGAGAGCGGAGACGGAGAAGGAGGAAGAATCAGAGGTCGCAGGAGTTTGGACGACACCGGCGTCGGGGACTGAGGAGATGAAGGGCGGTTGCGGGCTAGGGAGGGGTCTAGTAGAGAGAGGAGGAAGGAGAATATGAGGAGAGTGGAGGGAGACATCGTGGGGGGTTTCCCCCCTCTTTCTCTGGTTCTAATTTTAGTGAATGCGTGGGGAAGTTGCAAGCAGATGGTTGTTATTCGCCCTCTGGTTATTTTAATGAATGAGTATTTTTAGGTGGTTATTTTACTATTCATCAGAACTTTTTTGTTGTTCTCCTTTAGTAATAAAGAAGTAGATAAGAGATAATTTCAATTGTGAATTTAAATATTATTAAAGAAATAAATTAATTAAAATTTTAAAGAATTTATTTAATCAGACAAGATTCCTTTATTAATTAAATAGTTATATATTCATAAAATGTAAATGATTAATTAAATAAATATATTGTTATATTCTTGAATATTCAAAATATATTAGTATTTGAATTTTAACTAAAAGAAATTTAAAAGAGGACATCGGATTTGTGTTCTATCTGTCTCCAGCCCTAATAGCACATGCAAGTCACAATTTATAAGAGATGCATGGTTTAGGGCATATCACAATAATATAGAGCCGAACATTAAAAAAAATCAATTAAGAGGAGAATGCTTAAGTTTGTTTGTGGACAAGACATACATTTATTGTCAAACAAAGACAAAAGTTACGGCTTGAATTCAAGTTTTTTAGATTTTCCATATTAGTTCTCAACAAATGCATAAATTTGAAATGAGAAAAAGTATTGGAGAATTTTATTTGATAGGTTTATTCCTCGATTAATATGGACGAGTGTTAGGTCTCATGTTTATGAGCCTACTATTTTTAATCTAGTTTTGATGATTAACAAACAATTCCTAACATCATTTGTCGAGTGTTTGTTACCTGTTAGGTGTTCTACACAAAGATCCTAGTCGGAGGTTGGATGAAATTGTGCATTCACGATGATATTCAAAAGAAGTTTGAAGGAAAATAGGAATGAAGCACGATAGCATTCAAGTCTAGATTCATGATCATCGATTCGTCCTTCCTACCAAGATCGAGCTCAAATGAAGATCATTTACTTGGGTACATAGTTTTGTAGTTTAGGCTTTACTTTATGTGTTTATACTTTAAAGCTCAAACTACACACATACACGTTTTGTTTTATCGTATTATACATTTTTGGGAAAATAACATATTTACGGATTAAAGGCTTGATTACACTATTTTATATCTTTCCTCAAGTCTATTA